CTATGGCACATATATGGTGGGATTGTCCTAAAATACAGCTGTTTTGGCAGGATAGTCATACAAGAGATTTTGGAGATCACTATGCAGAAACAGCCATTGGGATGTCTGTTCTATGGGTCAGAAATACCATTGAAACAATACAAAAACAGTATATTATATAATTTAATTGGTGCGGCCAAGGGACTTATCCCCAAATTCTGGCAGGTACAGGAGCCTCCAGCATTGAGGGACTGGATTGAGAGAGATGACTATATAAATAAGATGAAAGTCCTATGTCATATAGATGAAGATGAAATGGAAAAGTTTAGAAAGGAATGGGTTAACTGATATGATTTTAAGACATCTAAAAAATATCTGTATGCGGTGGGGAGCTCCAATCAGATTGATGTAGGAGAACTGAACTGAAGATCAAGAAATGTATAGGAAGAGAGGATTAAAGTAAAGCGATATAGTTATGCACAGGAAAGGATGGAAAGAGTTGGACAGAATTACATGGAGCCGGGAAAATTGGGGGGGTGTGGTGGGATTTGGGGGGTGGGAGGGAGGGTGGTTACGGTGGGGAAATGTGGGAGAATGGTTCATATTTCTTATGTGACAATGATGAAAGTGTATTGTTTTAAGTATTGGAAAAGAATAAAATATTCAATAAAAGATATAATAAAAAAAAATAAAAATACAAAAAAAATAAGGGGCCCTAGATACCACCCCCATAGAACCCTTACTTATTCACAGAAAAATTAGTAACACACATACTTTTTGAAGTTCTTTAAAAATTGGAAAAGGCCTTAAAAAAGTCACATTATATAAATAATGTGCCATGATGTCAACCACATTACCCAGTGATGCAGATATTTGTCACACCTATCAACCTGCTGAAAAAAAGAACCCGCTGACGCTTCCAATACTGTTGCTTATTTTAAATAGGCCCCACCACTAAATATAAACATAGCGGTGGGGTCTCCTGGGTAATGTAATTGACCAAATATGGCCATAATATTTGGTTAATAACATCATGAGGGCTGGTATCTAGGAGTCTGCTTATTTTTTTATGGCGTTTCCAGAGTCTAATAATCCCCATCCACAGATCCTCGCAATCACTGGATCAGGGTTGTGAGAAGAAGGCAGGAGCGGAGTTGGCCTGGCATGGCTGCTTAGATAATTGTCTGGTATGAATTTTGGGGAACCCTGGGCTTCTTTCTTGTTTTTTGTGCGGGGTGTAATGATTGTGCGCAATAGAGACATGAAACCTGTACGTGACCGCCATTTTTGTTTTTCATGAGCAATGATCTTCCTCCCCTCCTCCTCCTGAAAACTTGAATTTGTAGCTGTAATTTTTAATCAACGTCAAAAGAACCTCTTATCTTAATTAAAAAACAGAGCTGTCTAGGCTGTAAACAGATAATTAGTCTTGGCAGGATGTCTGTTTCCACGAACCATGGAAAACTTTTCTCTGCCCTATTGTAAAACAATAATAACTCAGTTAAGCAGTCACACATGACCTGTAAGACCATTAAAGCTCTAGGAGTGCAGAGCGTGTCATAAAACATCTATTCCACATGTAACAATTCCATATACAATTCATAGAATTCAACAAGAACAGGGCATATTAATATTAGGCATATATTTGAATGGGGAATATCATACCGAACAAATCAAGGTCATACATGACTATGTTAGCACATAGGAAAGGGGAGAAAGCAGACTCCTCCCCAGGGGCTTCCCTAGGGTAGGTATCACCTGGTGCGATAACACTTGGTGACACCCCCTCCAATGATCCCCGCAGAATGGATCAGATCTGCGGATTGAGCATAATGGATCGGACTCCAATCCATTATGCTCCCCAATCCGCAGAACCGATCCATCCTCCGGGGATCGTTGACTTGCTTTACAATTTACCATTTTGTGGAGCGGGTCCGGTGTCACCCCGTATAGGTTGCATGCTGACGATCCCCGCAGAATGGATTGGATCTGCGGATTGAGCATAATGGATTGGACTCCAATCCATTATGCTCCCCAATCCGCAGAACCGATCTATTCTGTGGGGATTGTCAGCATGCAACCTATACGGGGTGGTCCTTTGTCAAGAGTTGGTGAGAAGGGGTCTGGCACCGTGTTTGTCACACGGGGTTCCCCCTTAAAATGCATGTCAGGCCAGAAAGGTCTGATACAGAATTTATGAGGACCCCACACTATGCATATATATTTTTGCATGGCATCCCTGCTAAAATCCATGCTAGACTGATGGGGGGGCCCCACATGTCTTTTTTCCCACTCACATGTGGGAAAAAAGACATTCACCTAATATTCACCTGTCAGCAGGTCCCCTTTAACAAGGTGACTACACTTACACATTGGGTAACATCAGAATAAATACAACATATATGTAACAACCAACTAGCTCTAGGAGCCCACCAGCCACTCTGCAGCGCTCCACCACTACCCAGATTAAAAACATGAGACAATATGGCCAAAGCAAAAAGAAAATGCATGGTAGGTATTTTCATAAACATTATACCCAAGTAGTCCTGTGACTTTGAAAGGTGGAACTGCAGGGCTATGAAACAGAACACCTCAAAGCACTTTGTCCACATGCTGATGAGGACAAGGGCCTCTTTCCCACAACCCTGGCCCTGTGGTGTGGGGGGTGTGGGGGGGGGGGTAACTTCTCAAAATCTTGAAGCCCCCTTTGACAAGGGGGCCCCCAGATCCTGGCCTCCCTTTGTTAATGACAATCTATTTATTTAAAAATGTCCAATGTACTGTAGATCTATTGTCAATCATGATGAGTGTTGGCCACTAACAGAAAAATAAACACCGCCACACACTTGCCAAATGACAGAGCTGCTTCCCCTGCTCTGCTAAGTAAACAAAGAGGTCGGCTACCAGGTGATGTCATGGCATAAGGTCCCTCTGAGAGCTTGCCCTATGTTGTCATGGGAGCCAGTCATCTAGTGATGTCACTGATGGCCCCCATTTTTTAAAAACAGACTTTTTAAAGACTGCCTTTTATTTTTTTTTTCTTTTGCCATTTTTTACTTAATAGCATGGGCTTCAAGATTCTGATAAGTTATCCTCTGTTGTGGGGAAAAGGCCATTATCCTCATCAACACATCAACATGTGGACAATGTGCTTTTGGGGGACTCGCTCAAAGCTATCCCACCCTCCAAGCTAAGGCTTCTGGCCTGGTATAGTTCAGAGGATGGGGGTACTCACTTGTCTCCCCCCTTTCCTAACCTGGTAAGGATTTGGGGGGTGGCACATAGTTTTTTTTTTTTTTTGAAAGGTCCCTTTCAAAATGCATATCAGACCCAAAGGACCTGGTACAGATTGGGGTGACCCTCACACTGTTTTTTTTTAATGGCTGCTATTTTATTTACATGCTTCTGTCAGCTGACAGCAGGGTTGACTCATCGTTATTAGGAAGCTGGCGAGTGCTGGCTCCTAACAACCAAAACCCAGGAAACTTTCACAAAAAAAACCCATGGTTGTTAGGCCTCAGACGGGTGCCAGCGTCTAACAATCAAAACCCAGGAAAAATAGGGGGAAAAATACACTGGAACACATTCAATACACCTCAAAAACCCATAAGAACATTGCATGCAGAAACATGAACCAGCCCTTAGGATTAAACATTAAAATAACATTTTATTTATTAAACATAAAAAACACATTACAGCATACTACTAAAACCACATATCCAGCAACCTGATTGCCCCATATTGTGCAAACAATATTTAAGCTGTTGTCCAGTGGACCTTTATAAGTAGTGCAACTGCTTGTAAAAAGCCAGTTTGGCAGTAAAAGAGGGGTACTTTCAAACACACACAGTATGAGTTTTGAAAAATGCATTAGGGAAAGTGATTGAAGTGGAAACAAAAATCTGGTTATATCAAGAAGCAGATTGCTCTACAGAATTTATTAATTGGGGTGTCTCATAGGAATGACTGTTAGACCCCTAAGGAAAAAGATTTGTGAGCATCAATATGATGTTGTATTGGGTCATTTGTGTTCAGTTATTGGCTGACATTTTAATTCACAGTAGAGGTGCACCAAGATAAATGTTTTTGGAACTGATGTCTTCAAAACTGTATGGCGTCGCAAAGGTACAAAAAAACAAATGGTGCCTACAGTGAAACATGGTGGTGGCAATGTTCTTTTGTGGGTCTGCATGAATGCTTATGGTGTCGGGGAGCTGCATTTTATTGATGATATCATGAATTCACAGATGCTCTGCTCCTATATTAAAAGAGAAGATGCTACCATCACTCTGTGCCCTTGGTTGTTGTGCACTTTTCCAACATGACAATGATCCAAAACACACATCTAAGGCCACTGTTGCATTTCTGAAGAACAGTGTGAAAGTGATTCAGTGGCCAAGTATGTCTCCTGATCTGAACCTAATCAAGCACCTATGGGGAATTCTGAAGAGACAAGTTGAGCGTCACTCTCTATCCAGCATCCAGGCTCTAAGAAGTAGTTCTTCAAGAATGGAAAAAAAATGGATGTTGCAATATGTCACCAACTTGTTCATTCCATGCCTAGAAGACTTGGTGCTGTCCTTACAAATCATGGAGGTCATACAAAATACTAGATGTAGTGTTTTTGTTGTGGGGTGCATTAAAACTGAAGATTTGTAATCTGTTATTAACCTTACTTTCATGTAATGAGCTAAACAAATGTTCTATCAAACTCTGTTTTGTCAGAATTTTGGAAATTGTTCTTGTGTTCATTGAGATATTGATTAACCACTAGCCTACAGGGCACTTATACCCCCTTCCTGCCCAGGCCAATTTCCAGCTTTCAGCGCTGTCACACTTTGAATTACAATTGCGCGGTCATGCAACACTATACCCATATGAAATTTTTATCATTTTTTTGAGACAGATAGAGCTTTCTTTTGGTGGTATTTAATCACCTCTGGGATTTTTATTTTTTCTTAAACAAACCAAAAACCACTGAAATTTAAAAAAAAAACAAAACGTTTTTTTCTTAGTTTTTGTTATACAATTTTGTAAATAAGTGATTTTTCTCCTTCACTGATGAGCGCTAATGAGTCTGCAGTGATGGGCACTGATAGGCTGTACTGATGGACACTGATAGGTGGCGCTGATGGGCACTGATGAGGAGGCACTGGTAGGTTGCACTGATGGGCATTGACAGGAATCACTGATGGGCACTGAAAGGCAGCACTGACTGGCACTGATAGGCGGCACTGGCTGGCACTGATAGGCGACACTGACTGGTATGCACTGATATGTGGCATTGATGTGGCACTGATGGGCACTGGCACGTGGCACTGACTGCTGGCACTGATGGACACTGACAGGTGGCACTTCTGGGGCCACACTGATCATCAGGGCACACTGATCATCAGTGCCCTGATGATCAGTGTACATGTCCCCTCCGCAGAAAGCCGATAAACTGCATTTCCATGTTTACATGTGATCAGCTGTGATTGGACACAGCTGATCACATGACCGAGCAGACATCTTCAGCTCTTTCCGTGATCTGCTGTGTCTGAGGGACACAGCGCACCAGCGATCGCCGCGCGCGCTGAGAATGGAAGGACGTCATATGATGTCCTATCAGAACGAGAGAACCACCTTGAGCCCATCATTGTACTATATGGCAGGCGGAAGGTGGTTAAAATCTTACTTTTCAAAAGGGTGTACTCATTTATGCTGAGCTCTGTATATAGCCTATTACCTAAAATTAACTATAGTTTTAATTGCTGTACTTTGTTATCTAGGAGCTGGCTGGACAATATTTTCCACACTAGTGTACCAGAGGCCTTATTCACTTATTTCATATATGTTTTTCCACCTTCAGAACAGAAACTTAATAATCTATTCAGTGTACAGTGCCAGCAACCTTAAAAAACAATGTTAAAATATTCCGTATGCAGAGAATGAGTGGTTTTCAGTGTGTTTGCTTTTCTGACAGATCCATTTCTCAAAGCTGTCAGCTGCTTCTCACAAACTAGAAGGGTCATTAGTCCAAGTAAAATATTACTTTGGTTTATTTGCTGCAAACATCATCTAGCACAAAACGCTACTTATGTATATAAATGTCACCTTTCATAACTTTTTTTAAGGAGTTATATCTTTATAAAAGTATAAATTACTTTGTTTGTACTGAGTTAATGTGTGTGTTCATTAATAAAGCTGACAGTACACTATGGTACTATGGTAGTTATAGCAATGTAACTATGAAAGCAGATCAGCAGGTCCGTAGAAAAGTTTAAAGCTTCTGGATATTAAATTTACATTTTAGAATTTTAGAATGTCTGTATATTATGGTGACTATATATATATATATATATATATATATATATACAGAGAGAGAGAGAGAGAGAGAGATAGATAGATAGATAGATATCTATATATATAGAGATATATATATAGATATTTATTTATATTTTTTTTTTCTTAAAGGGGGTTTGTAGTCTTTTTAATGTATTCTAGAAAAGATGTGTTTACGTGTAACTGCACTTTTTGTGCATTCACAGTTATTGTTTGAACCCCCGCACCTTCAGATCTATCTGCCAGTCTTATATTCACTTGTCCCAAATTCAGATGCTTGTCAAATTTCTTGTGTTAACAAGTAGAGGTAATACCAAAAATTAGCACTGCTGAGAAATAATGATTGACAGGTTTAGAGGGTTTTGTTTAGAGGGTTACATTTAGAGTTTTAAGGCTTGAGGGTTACGTTTAGAGTGAGGAAAAATGATGCTGTGATGATTATGAGTTAGAGTACGGTTACGTTAAGGGCTAGTTTTCAAAAATAGAATGAGGAAAAACAATGTAATAAACCTTAAATAAAATAAATAAAGACATCTTATTTCTTCAGTATCCATTTTTTTATTCTGTTTCTTATCTTCTGGATCTAGGGTGACAATGCTCTGTGAGTGGCTGCCTAAACAGGAACAGCATCATTACCCTAGAATTCATTCTCCATGTGGATGCAAAGTTGACATACTAATGCACAGCATGCCACATTGCAGTCCACAGTGAGCATAAAGGCTCATAAGTAGTACACATCATTGGAGAGATGTATACCATTGCTTATGGTTCAAGTGCACAAACCAGAAGTGAAGAAGAGGAGTGAAATTTATGAGCATACATAGTAAGCATGGATTCCTAATGCTAAAGCAAGGTAGTTATTGGGAAAAAGTAATGAAAAATAATAGGAAGAATGTCTAGTAGATAAGAGAGTGTATATCGGGGTAGCAAATTATACACATTAGGGGGAAATAAGTATTACATTAAAAGGTTAAATCAACTTTAGAGCTTAGATAAGAAAAGTTAAGTTTAAGGGGTAGTCTCATTGGTAGGTTAAGGTTAGTACATGTGGAAAACTAAATATGTTTAACTTTCTCAAGCCTATTTTCCTGTACCGACCACTTCCAGTATTAAATTCTCAATGCTGAAAGCAAATGAACATATTTCAGCATAGCAGTGACTGCTTCTCATGTTGGCCAGAGACATTTGAATAAGCTGAAAATCAAGCGGTGTCTTATGAGATTCCAACAATTCATCAATAAGTACTGACACTCATATCCACCATACAAAGTAGTGATCTCTGTGGTAGCTTTTTTTTATTTTGTTTATTCATTTATTTGATGCTGACAGTTGTTTCCACAGTACTTTTACAGAAAGCATCAAACCATTTACTATGCTCTTGAAGGAGCTTACAATCTAATGCCCTACGACAATCATACTCATGCAGACAGTAGTGCCAGTTTGGGAAGAAAACAATTGACCTACAAGTTATTTGTGGGTAGAAATACAAACAAAAAAACACATTTCCTACATGTAGTAACCTTGGTGGGAATCAAAACCAGAATAAGGTGTTGCAAGGCAAAAACGCTAAAATGTAAGCATTGTGCCATGTCAACATGCCTTCGTAATGTATTTAACCACTTGTCTAGTGGGCACTTTTACCCCCTTCATGTCCAGGCCAATTTTCAGTTTTCAGTGCTGTTGCACTTTGAATGACAATTGCGCAGTCATGCAACACTGTACCGATATGAAATTGTTATCATTTCTTTGACACAAATAGAGCTTTATTTTGGTGGTATTTAATCACCGCTGGGTGTTTTATGCACTATATACAAAAAAAAAAAAAAAAAAATGTAAAAAATAAAGTTTTTCTTTGTTTATATTATAAAATTTAGCAAATAGGTAATTTTTTTCCTTCACTGATGTGCGTTGATGAGGCTGTACTGATAAATGGCTCTGATGGGCACTGATGGGCAGCATGGATGAGGTGGCACGGATAGGCAGCACTGATAGGTGGCACTGATGAGTTGGCACTGATGCTGCTGCACTGATATGCAGCAATGATGGGCACTGATAAGTGGCACTGATGGGCACTGATATGCAGCACTAATGGGCACTGTGGGGTAGTGATCTGTAGGACACTGCGATCACAGAGATTGCTGGGGGGCATGCGGGAGGGCTCGTTCTGGGAGGGCGTCATATGAACTAGACAACCGCTTTGTAGCCGTCATTCGGCTATAGCGCAGTTGGCAAGAGGTTAGGAACTTTATAAATTATTGTATTCCATCATCCAATCATGTGTAAAAAAAAATCCTGCTTTTTATCTTTGCATGTGATTGGATATTCTTTGCAAATTTAATTTTCACCACATTCACAAAGCTAAGGGAAAATTTCCTTGCAAAGTGAACTGTCTATTTGCCTTTAGAAACTGAACCTCAATATTTGTGGTTGGCTGTACATACACATTACATATGTATAACTCCACAATTTTACAATTTTATTTTTTTAAAGAATAGTCCTGCAGTTATGCATTATAGTTTAAACAGTTGCCTGTGGTTAAAGCCTAATTGAACCATTTTTTATTATAATACAGTCAGGCTGCATAAACAGTAAAGAATGTGTCTGTGTTTTTTTATTTATTTATTTTTTAAAACTAGCTTGCTGCAGGCTTTGTTAAAATTGCATGTCGGCCGTATTCTGAAGAACTGCACAGTACACTGGAGATCTGGACCACTGCTTCTCAACACGCCCCCTGCACTCTCCTTGAACAGCTTTATTGATTGGAGTACTGTACTTGGGGTGTGTCGGAATGCTGACACTGCTCTCTGTTGAGCAGTGGTACATTAGTTGTGTTTAGTCAGCTGGTATATGTCATTTCAAATCTGTAGCACATTAAAAAAATAAAAAATAAAACAGATACATTCTATACTGCTAATACAGCCTAAATGCATTACAGTAATATTGAACAAATAGTTCAGTTGGGCTTTAAAGGATTAGTTCACTTAAAAAAAAAAAAATGCACATTTTTTTGCAGGTAAACAAAATATGCATTTACTGATTAGTTTTTTTTAGGAGCCTGGAAAGCCTTGCAGCAGTGGTCAGCAGATCACTGGTGTCATGCAGGACTCCTGCAGATTGTCAGCTTGAGCTGTAAGCCCATACATTGGAATGGTAGGCATTTTCACACCGACAGGATCAGTGGTCTAGCACAGTACTCAACAGTGCTGTGGTAGTTCATTGAGAACTACAAGCTGACAGCCACAAAGGCTGTCAAGACATATAATTTCTCATTCAGGGAACTCTTTTTTTAAAATTGTGACAGCTAGCGGGGGGAGAAGATCCCCCTGCTTTTTGTCACAACAGGGGATCGGGGGATATGGGGGCCCAGTATTACAGTAACATGTTACATGTTACACCCTGAATATGGGTGTAACATGTTATGAAAGTTGAATTTATCCTTTAATTAATTTAATAAAAAAGGTACAAAGATTGCTGATATGCAGTAACTCACACTGCTCAAAAAAAATTAAAGGAACACTTTTTAATCAGAGTATAACATCAAGTCAATTAAACTCCTGGGATATCGATCTGATGAGCTAAGTAGAATAGGGGGTTGTTAATCAGTTTCAGCTACTTTGGTGTTAATGAAATTAAGAACAGGTGCACTAGATGGGCAACAATGAGACGACCCCCAAAACAGGAATGGTTTTACAGGTGGAGGCCACTGACATTTTTTTCCCTACTCATCTTTTCTGTTTTTCACTATTTTGCATTTGGCTAGGGTCAGCATCACTGCTGGTAACATGAGGCTATACCTGGACCCTACAGAGCTTGCACAGGCAGTCCAACTCCTCCAGGATGGCACATCAATACGTGCCTTTTGCCAGAATGTTTGCTGTGTCTCCCAGCACAGTCTCAAGAGTATGGAGGAGATTCCAGGGGACAGGCAGTTACTTTAGGAGAGCTGGACAGGGCCGTAGAAGGTCCTTAACCCATCAGCAGGACCGGTATCTGCTTCTTTGTGCAAGGAGGAACAGGATGAGCACTGCC